GGGACATCTTTAGATGTAAATGCTCTGGGAGCACTGAACTGTATAACAAGCTACAGCTGTTTATAGGCTGCTATATGAGTTTCTAAGAACAGCCTTGAACACTTCCAAATCATGCTAATAAGCATAACAAGCAAGATAAATTGAAGAAACAGAATTTGTTGCTTTGACTAGCTTTCTTGCTCGTGGCAGGGCAGTCATCCTGAATAAAATTGATTACGTTTTATAAAGGAATTTCCTTTATAAACAATTTAATTTATTTTACTCCAAAATAAAAAAGTAATAGCTTTTCTCTATGATGGGAAAACAAACAGCTCCAAAACCTTGGTACTTTCCCCTGTAGCTGCAGAAATAAATGGGAAGACAAAGACCTCAGTGACATATTCCACATCTTAAGCCAGATTTAGAATAGCCTTCAAAGAAACACTATGCAAAAGACTCAGTTCTAGGAGAAACCATTCCACTATCTTTGATCCCGGCAAACTTGCTTTGACAGCTACAATAAAGAAGAGGTTGCTGCCATAAGCCCACTATTCGGATCACCTCCTAGAAGTTGGCATCCCAGGGGAAAAAAAAAAAAAATCAGAAAAACAGTTCATGAGAAAAGCACAAATAAAAGAGCGGACAAAATGCACATTCAAGTGCAGCAACATGTCTGGCTATTGCGTAGGCATCCCATACAGTTAGTGGAATTAAGCAGCACCACTCTCTCTTTCAGAGGGTATTTTTTAGAACAGACAGAGAAGAGTATCTATAATTTGTCTGCCAAACACCTCATATTTCATTTATCGTCTAGCAGCATTTCCTTCTGTTTTTTTGAAACACTTCCATCACTTTTGGAAGACAGACTATTTATTGTTAAGGGAAGCGTGCTACTCATTCTGTGGGAGAGCTGTATGAGCGGACAGCAGCTGCTGCAGCAAGTCAATAAGGGCTCCACAGGAAGGGCAGTATTGCTTTTCTCTCTCTTTAAAGATGGATCACAAGCACGGGCTTCATTAACAAGTATTGACTACCTCATCTAATTACTGCATTCCAGAACTCACATTTCCACGAGACTACAAACCTCAGCAGTCTACAGATGCCATTTACCCTGTTTAGGTTTTACTCTTACTGGTAAATTTCACACTCCATTAATGGGCAAGCAATCATTTTTATTTTATTTTAAATAGACACTGTATATTTGTCAGATTTCCAGAAATAGCCCAGTACTTAGGAACCTACTTACTGATGTTAATCTTTCAAATTATGCATCTGATTCTGTTGGTTTGCATGCCTAAAGTTAGAAAATACCAATGCAGCATTTAGCCTTGTAAATTAGTGAACTGGTTTTCAGAAAAGCTTGCACTCTCTTCCTCAGAAAACCAGGCTATTTAACTATTAAATTTGTTCAGAAAATCCTGGCTACAGAACTGAATAATTTCTGCCTTGCCCTCAAATCTCTAATTAATCGCACTGAGCAATACTTCTGCTTTCCTTATGCATAATTATATATAGATACTCTACTCTAACAAACTACACTCAGGAATTAAAAAGACATTTTAATTCTGAATAGCATTGCTGGCAGAATAGAATACAGTTTAAACAATTTTTTTTTTTTCCCTTTTTGCCCCTTAACATTCCATAATAGACAAATTCACAACTACTTTTCACTTAAATATTCACTGTGTTAAGTATCTGCCTTAAGAAGAGAAGCTCCACGGAAAACAATGGCACCTATATTATATTCTTATTATTGTGAAACATTTTTTAATATAATCACAGTAATATATTAACTTACCCGAGATGATACCTAAGAGCATTTAAGAAAATATGGATTCACTCCTTCTGCTTGGCTCTAAACACAGCTCTTTCTATATCAAACTTGCTTCCTGTGCACATCCTCAATATACACACGAAAGCAAACTGCACAGCCTACATGCTGAAGGGCTCCCATCTTTCACTTCCTTTTGTGGCTCTCAAGACCAAAATAAGAGGGAGAGGTCTTGTTCACAAAAACCTCTTGTACTTTTGACAAAACAGCATATTCATAAAACAACTGAAAAGTGAGAGCTGTATTCCTACCTCACGATGTATCCTCTCTGATCTAATTTGCTCTGATCTACAGACATATAAGAAGATGCCAATGTTTAGCAAAAGATCAGAACGCTTCCCCTTCTTTCTCGTTGCTGCACTCTACCTGTCTAACATATACTCCAGAAAGTGGGCTCGTGAGTGGTCATTAAAGTCTGTCTGGATGAATGGAAAGCTTGCTATTTTATCTACCAAATAATGTATTATTAGACAGCACGTAAAGATTTGCTTACTGAGTTTTGCCTATTATTTCTATAGGAAAACACCATCTGACATCAAAAACAGAGTTCTTGTGTTACCTACATCTGAGGACCATCAGATGACTTTATTTAAAAAGGTCTTTTATAATAAAGACACCTGATCCCTGACGGTTTGTCTTTAAAACAACACCACCTCTACTTCAAATACGCTGTAAATATGCTTTATCTTACTCTGCTTGTTTGGCTGAAGGAGGAAGTCATTTCCATAGGAGGCAGGCAGAGTTATCACAACTTCCAGTTACTACTTCTCAGTTTCACAAGTACTGGAGTAGTGAGATTGTATCAAACAGTTTTGGAGAAACCCTGCAGCTGAAATATTTTGTTCTCATTGCACACAAGGCCAGTCTTTTTACAGGATGTCTTTTCAGCACAATGCTGCTAAAGATTTCTCAAAATAAGCAAGAGCAGCTTAAATGGGATAACTATTTAGGTAGTTCTGGTTTCTCTAATTTACAGCCTACGGTGTGAAAATATTCTAATAAAATATATATATTTATATACATATTTGATCTTGTCCACCATGCTCTGTGGAAGTGGTTTATGCAGCAATGTGAATTTCCAATGACCATTGTCTAATAACAGAGATACCAGGTAAATAAAGCACAGTAACATTCTTCTGTTTTTTTGAATGAAGAGGGAGGGACAGCAACCCTTCCAGGTTTCTTTTACCTCCAGAATTGTCTTCTAAGCAAACAATACCTGTCATAACACAACCATAAATAGGTCAAATATATTTTCTCAAAGGACAAATCTGCAAAACTTCTGAAGGCTTATGATTTGCTTCTGAGATGAAAAGTAAATATACAAATAAAAACATTGAAAGGGAAGTTAACCATTTTTGAATAAATAAGCTATAAACAGTCTCAATCCTTTCAAAATTGTATTGCCTGCTATACAGAGCAGGTAATTATTTTCGAATAAAATAAAAATGCAGAAATTATGCTGTCAGCATAGATTTCAAGTGTTTAAAATAGACCCACTATCTGGTCAAGATCCTAAATGCCTACAACAATGTGTTTGTTGTTTGTTTTTAAGCTTAAAACATTAATAATTTCCTGTTAAAATATCAATGCTTTTATTTTAATGCAACCTAAAATATACAGTTTTTCCATTTCATTTGAAAACACTCCACAACTCTCAATTAAAATCCCCAGAATTTCACAGCAGTCAGCCAGTCTGGAATTGCATTTGTTTGTCTGAGGACGAATAGAAGACTTCAGTTGTCTGAAATCATCAGCCCAGCAATACCCCTCAGCATGCAGTACTATGTGACACCATTTATCTCCGAGAACTCCAGGACATCTTCAGAATTACAGTCACCACACTGAGAGCTATGCCTGATCACTCAGTGTGATGATTTAGTAGAACTAGGATTAACTTTAGCAGTCAGGTCAATGTTTTCACGTGGGCAACAAGATATTGGCATAGACGATGTATGATTTTTAAGTAGCTTTAGTGTAGTGACACACGTAACAATTAAACAATTAAATCTTTCTTTTATTTGTTAAATTAATACTGGACTCAATTCAGTAAACAACATAGTGGTTTGGCCTGTAGACTGTTTGTTCCTACTTAGAGTCAAGCATGGTTAGCAGGTACGCCTGCTAACATTCAAAAATATAGCCATCAACATGTATGTCATTCATTTTCATGCTGCTCAGCAGTAAGGAGGAAGCTGAGACAAATTTATTCTGCCAACCATCAGCATTTCAGAAAAGGATTCACTAAGCTTTCATAGACTGCACTGAGTGACTTAAAACCTGGGAAAAAAAGAAGGATGCATTTGCACTATTTTTTTTTTTTTTTTTGTAAAGACATCCACTGAGTTTTAAAAAGGTTTCATTATTCAGCATAAGTAGCTGCAATCTCCAAATGGAAAGAACAGTACAGGGATTACAGCAGAAGGAATTTCAGCCACTAAAAGGTTAAGGGTCTTTCACCAGCTGTAATCATTTTTATCCACTTCCACTGACTGCCTAAGCTCAAATTCCAATTTTTAACTATTGCTTCCTAGCTCCAAGTTTGCAACTCACAAAGAAGGTAAGTTAGCACATTTTCATTCTAGGTATTGAACTAAGATAGAAAATGAGCATGCTGAGCTACAGCTAAATGTGGGCAATTTATGATGTGAATAGGATCTTTAGCATCTACACAGTTAATTAATCTGTGAAAAGAAGACCTTTCAAAAAGAAAAATGAATTCCACAGGGAACAAATGTATTTTCTGCCTGTCCATATTTCTTTCACCTTGAACATAAAAAAGACCGGGCATCATACAGCTGATTAACTATTAAACCCCTCACCTTTTCTTATCACATGGCCAATTTAGTCAACACAATCACCTCTACTGAACCATAGCATTACCAGGCACAGAATATTTGCAAATGATTCACAGTTGAACTAAACGTCAGTTTAGTTGGATGTCAGGGGGAAGTTCTTTACAGAGAGAGTTGTGAGGTGCTGGAACAGGCTGCCCAGAGAGGTTGTGAATGCCCCGTCCCTGGAGGTGTTCAAGGCCAGGTTGGATGGGGCACTGGCAGCCTGGTCTAGTATTAAACTGGGAGGTTGGTGGCCCTGCATGTGGCAGGGGGGTTGGAGCTTCATGATCCTTGAGGTCCCTTCCAACCCTGGCCATTCTGTGATTCTGTGAAATTAGAATCTGGTTTACTAGCTGTACACCAGCCCTAAAACATTTCAAAAGAGTTCAAACAAGGTCAACACATGAACATTCCCCTCAGGTGAAGTTCTTCTTCATGTCACTCCGTGTTGTGTTTGATTAAAAACAGTGCTGAATGAGGCACTTCACTGGAACAAACACACACAAAAAGAAGATACGGGGAAGTATGCAAAACAGTTTTCTTTGGTAACAGACAGGGCAAGGGCAGCATTTGGAGACATGAGCTCCATTGTAACTCACTGTGTTCTTCAACATGGTCAAAAGCACTCTGTGTATCACCAACACAGCTACCAGGCTGCCTCTCCCACCACGTATAAAGAGTTTACTATCTCTAATGAGTTTCTCAGGTTATGCTGCTGTAACATTAACTTTGCTATAAATAAAATTAACTTAACTGAAGTTGAATAAAATTCAGCTTTAGATTTATAAAAAAAGAGATTCTTGTCATAAGTTTATACATTATTTTATATTCATAATCATTGTAACCACAACTCCAGAATCAAAAAGACAGCCCACAGTAATCTTCTGCTAAATTAAGCACTTGGCAGTGCCCTACACTGTTATAAGCAAGGTTACAGTAACCATTTGCAAAGAGTTATTTCAAAAGCTTCAGCTTTAGAAAAGATTTGAGGCTCTTGATACATTTCTGGATTTGATTTCTGTGACAACAGATAAGTGCAAGTCCCTCCTGAATTTTAATGGAGGGAGGAATAAAAATGGACAGGAAAATTTACTGCCAGCAACTTCTTTTCCTTAATCTATTGAGTTACCTTACAATACCAGATATGCACTAACTATCATCTTCAGTATCAAAATTCACTGTTTACATCTAGTAGATAAGTATGCACATTTTCTACTCAAATTAATATGCTATCTAAAATAAAACTAGCTTGTCTTTCACATTATCATCAACAGAATGTATTCCAAAGCCAAAGATAAAACACTGGTGGCTTCGTTGTCTTCCATATCTTTGGTCTCATGTGCAAAACAGCCACTTTAATAGGGCAGGCAGGTAACATTAATTAAACATACATAGACTCATAGAATGGTTTGGGTTGGAAGGGACCTTTAAGACATGAGGGCAGATAATCCTGAAGAATAATCTCAGTTTGTGTAGTCCTTTTCCCTGTTTGTCCATAAACTCCATATGGCAGACATGCTTATATCCAACGAAAGACAAAAAGCAACAGCTACGAGATATTGATCCTGACCTTTATTTGTTAATATGAAGAACAGAAAGTCAGGCTTAATCCCTGAAAAAATAACATTATACAAATGAAGGCTTAATACTTGAAGGTATGATTAATGATTAATATCCAAATGCCTAAATTGAAATGATGCCCACACCCAACCATATCCAAACACCTACATCAAGTCCAGTCTATCAAATCACATTAGGGATTACAACGGCCCACTATTTTATATATAGGGAGCATTGTATGACTATAATAAAAGCTGCTTAAAAAAACCTGCTATATGGTAATACCCATGACAGAGCAAATGCATGAGGAAGCCATTCTGCTTGGCACAACAAAGCAGCGTGGCAGCTCGCTGAAGATGCCCATGTGATAAGAGCACTGTGAGCCAGCAGACACCGACCATCAGACACCTTCCTCTTAGAGAAGTTTTTCTTTTATTAATGGTAGATTTTAATTCCCGACTCTCTTCTTTCATTTTTTAAAGGTGTTCCTTATTTTCTGGGAACTTTGAGGTAACATTTGCATCGATTGCCCTCATCTCCCAAACAGGTAATCACTGACTCAATGCTGTTTGGAAAATAAATAAATAAAAGATTAATTCATAAAGCACTGTAGAAAAATCCATATCCTTTATATCCAATTCCTTTCTACCTACTTGAAGAAAACAAGAATTTAAGCTAAAAACAATGGTTCCTCTTAAGAAGCACTGGATTTTATTCTATTTTTTATTCTACACAGCTTGCTAGCAGGTGCTGTAAAGTTGTTCAAACGTTTTCATTTGAATTTTAACATGCTTACCAGTTATCAGAATTCTCCTGCCTTCTCTCAGAAAGATCTTCCAGTGTAAGCCCACACACCACAAAAAATAATAGAAAAAATTCTTTGCATAAAGCGCTCCTTCAGCACAATGTACTCAGCTCACTGCTTTCTCTCCTTTCAGTTATTAAATTGCTCCTGTTTCTCTTACCCCCTGTGTACCATACCTGGAAAAAAAAAAAAAAGCCTTATCAGAAAGCTGATCCTGCTTCTACGCCCATAGCCACTGTAAACAAGACTATTTTAACTTCAAACAACCTGCCCTTGCACATGCACAAAGAAGTATTTCTAGCCTTAATAGTTCAGATTCTTCAGCTCTTTGTATTGCAGATTTCAGCTCTGCTAGCCTTACTCACACTTCACTGACTTTAATAAGCATGCTGTCCTTGTCAAGCATGAGATATTCTCACTTTTCATATTTTAAAAGTATTTTTCCTTTCTCAAACTGAAGTTAATATTTGACAGCAAACAACTACTTTGATTCCTTTAGAGAAAACGATAGGAAATTCCTCCATTTTCATGCCAATGATAGATTCAGGGTAGCATGTGGGTGCACAGCTCAAATGTCAGTGACACGAAGGACTACCTCAGACTGAATGTATGGGAAGCAGAGGGCCAGACATGCCTTTTTTCTTGTACATACTTCTGTACTAGAGAACATATCTGAAGAGAGCACTGTGCAAGATGGAAGACTACTAAATATATGCACTCCCACAGCCTTCAAAAAGCAAAAGTCATCTACTTCTGCTCAGTTCTCTAATCTCCTTCCCAGGGACCAAGGGACAAAAATAGTGAATTTTTACTTGGCTTTTTTTTTTTTTTTTTGAAAGCCAGCATTGGTGTGAACAACAGCACTCTGCACCAGAAGTTCCTTCTTCAGCAAACTATTTCCACATTACTCTAAAGGAAAATTTCTGAAATTTGTTACTGAACTATACCATATATATACAGAATAACATCTCCAGGTGAAAGGAAAGTGGCACTTAAACACTTAGTAGGCATAAACAGGATAAGTTGATTTTGCATTTGCAGTGTTGTATACTCATTCCTCTACAAGCAAGGGCTTGGATTCTGTACCTCAAGCATATCTGTCTATTCAGCACATCACGCCCAGATGCGTTACCTGGAGAACAGTTAAGTTAAACTGCTGTGCCCTACGTCTGTCCCCCATGCACACAGTTCAGTAGCATTACCAAACATCTTGCTGAGACTGGCACTTTTTTCCTATGTGTCAGCTTTAAAATCACTTTCGTTTTTGAAAGGGTTTTGTTAATACTCTCTCACAAAACCATAGTGAATGTCATGGATTTTACAGAATAAGAGTCTGAACAATGTACATCAAATAAGTTTTTAAAAGATTATGAAGGCTTTGTGATGTCAGAGGATTGTGGTCCAGCTCACAGCTGTGAAATGCCACGTGCTGTTTCTCATGAATGCTGTGCAGGTGTGGAAAACATCTTTAGCCATCACTGTTCAAAAACAGAAATCTGACGATTTGGGATGTATGGGACACCCTTAGAAATAACATTTGGTTTTCTAAATGACATCAACCCTAATGCCAGCAGATGACAAAACATGCACAGTGAAATCTTTTTCATTCAGGATCGATCACTTTCATATCTCAACGTTTTCTGTAAGTTACAGGGGGAAAAAATAGTTTTAGTAAGTATCTAGTCCAGCCCAGCTGCTGAGTAGTATTTAAAAAGCAAAGTGTACACAATATTTGCAATGGTAAGATTCTCATTATGTACCAAATTTCAACACACAGCTGACAGTCAGATTTTAAAATAAGTCTACATTTCTATTGCAGCTCAAGTGCATTTACTGGAAACAATCGAAGTAAACTCATACAAACGTAGGTAATTACAATGTCAGACATGTAAGAAAAGCAGAGAGCAGACTTAAAAGTGAACAGCTGTTCAAACTAGGAAGTAGTAATTATCCACACTTAAGCTGAACAGGCACGTGGTTATTTCAGCTATATCAAAACCCTTTGAGAGCTAGTTCATTTGGGTTATAAGTTCCTTCAACTTCCTTATTAGAGCACTGAATTCTAACATTGTTCTCAATCCTATCAGCAAAAGCCTTTTAGCACATCCTGTGCACAAGCAGTAAAGCCCTTTTACAGACAGTAAGATAAAAATTGAAAAGGGTAATTCCCAACATGGCAGTCGAGCACTGATGACAGCCATGCCAACACTGACTCTTACTGGCTATATCCAGTGGACAAGATGGATTTTTTAATGCCCCTCCTTTGACTGCATGGCAGGAGTCTTTTTCAGAGTCTTACTCTGTTCAGTGAGGGTCAGGGTATGTATATAAGGAAGTTTAGAAATAGGTTATGTGCAAAATCAGCCAGTGGGACTGTTGTGTTTTAACTTTGCTCGCACCTTACCGTTCAAACCAACCACAAAAGCCACTCTAGCATCCTACAGCCATTAGCTTCTGCTCCCTAGCCTAGCTTGGCAGGCTCTAACCAGCATGTGAGCAGCCAGCTCAGTCATCAGCACACCCTTCACTTGGAAGCCTGGGGAGCATATTTGTCCACTGGATCAGATATAGATTAACAAATTATAAAGAACACTGTTTACTGCATTATCATTCATTACTCCAGAGAGTGCAATGTAATCAGAGTAACACTTGGTTCAGATTACCAGGAGAACTTAATGAAAGTCAAACTTCTGCAACAGTAACCACTGTTTTCTAATAGGGAAAGACATTTTTTTTACTGCTAAGCATATGCACAAGCAAATTACATTCTAGTAACGCATAGGCCCCTCCAAAAGTACACCCTCCTATTTATTTCCATGGAATCTACAACAGCTATAAGAAAAAAACATAACCATATTTGATAAAGCAAATTCTTAGCTACAAAGCACTATTTTTCAACATAGCCTCCACCATTTGCTCTACATTTTCACCAGCAATGAAAAAGAACCTGCATGCTGCACTCATAAAAATCTGCACCAGTGGAGGTGACCTGTTGTTGATGCTGCTGAAACGTACCGCCCACTGCCTCACTGTGCTCACATCCACTGTCTGAGCTCCATGAACATTCAGCAAGCACTGATGAATGCCAGTGGGTGCCATTTTTTTCTGCATGCAGGAACTGAATGAACACACCTTTGCTTCATCCACTCTTTCACGCCAGTCACTGTTTGGTCAGACCATGTCTCTGCTGCCATCTGTCACACAGCAACAACATGTGACAGAATATTGGTGGGAAGGTTCAAACTCTACTGTCATATCACCAACACCCAGCCCTGATATCATGGGCCAATAGAATAAAATAGGAGGCAGCACTTTCAGAGCATTGTAGTTCTCATTTTTGTGAGACTTACATATACCACAAAACCTCATGTTTTATAAGACCTCTCCTGAAATCCTACTTTCACCTGAGAATTTCTACAGTTTTGTTTCAGAGAGATCAAAGCCTGCTTTTTAAAGAGCTAGAAAGTCAGAGGCATTCAAGGAGCAAATAAAGGATGTCCAACTCTGGAAAAGCATCCTCAGGCATCTGTCATCCTGCATACTTTCTTGAATATTGTAGTATTGTTAGCCCATAAGATAATGATAGAATCCAAAATGAATTTACTCTCACAGACAAAATGTAATTTCTTAATGACCAGGGTTAGTGTTACTGAATGAATGCAAAGCATGCCTATATTAAAATTTGGGGCATTTTGACAAGAGTCATCTGAAGAAGGTCAAGCAGCACAACTGCACAGAATTTGAAAAGATTTTCAGTTCTTACAAAAATAAATAATTTTTCCTGCATCAGTGTCTGTGTTTTGATTCTCAAATCCCCAGTTCTGAAGATGAATGTAATTAGCCAGTAAGTTTCATTTCTTTACTCGGTAACTGATGTTAACACAAATAATGAGCATATTAATATTCAGCTAAGAAACTGAAGCATCACAGACAAGACAGTCAACTGCAGTATATGAGCACAAGGAAGAAAAATAGTCTGATTATTCACTGTAAGAAGCTGATAAACCCTGATACAGACAAAACATTAAAAGAGAGACTTCAAATACTATTATTAACTTCAGCAATAATAAAATTTGAGTCAGTTATAGCTCTTTTTTCAAAATCTCTCGTAGGCTCAATATCGATTTTCAATTTAAAATACTGCTTTCCACCAGGGAAGAGAGCCTAGGAGATTGAACAGGCATTAGCAACTGAGTGGCTCAGACCAGAAGGAGAATAAAGACTACCGATATAGCCATTATTTGAATAAGTCACCCTTTTCTGCATACAGACTGTGCTTAAATAATAGTCAGTCCCTAGAAGAAAAAGAGATCAGTAGATCAGGATCCTCATCCAGAAGAACAGCAGAGAGAAGGAGCTCTGTACTCCTTCCCTTCCACTTCTACCTCCAGAATTCAGTGGGTACAAGAAGGAGGAGCTGCACTCAGAATCACAGAATGGCCCAAGTTGGAAGGGACCTCAAGGATCATGAATCTCCACCCCCCCCACCACAGGCTGAGCCACCAACTTCTACATTTAATATTAGACCAGGCTGCCCAGGGCCCCATCCAATCTGACCTTGAACACCTCCAGGGATGGGGCATCCACAGCCTCTCTGGGCAGCCTGTTCCAGCACCTCACCACTCTCTCTGTAAAGAACTTCCCCCTGATATCCAACCTAAATCTTCCCTCCCTCAACTTAAAACCATTTCCCCTTGTCCTGCAGTTATCTACCCTTTCAAAGAGTTGACTCCCCTCCTGCTTGTAGGCTCCCTTTAGGT